TAGTCTTAAGACCAGCCTACAAACCTAGGTTACCCTGTCTATTTCTTAGATTCATGGGAGCAATTTCATCCTGCTGGCTGGGGTGCTAGCCCAATCAGTGATGTCTTCAGAGTCTAATTTAGTAGAAGTCCAGGATTCTTGTCAGGCCTTCACATCTACTTTAACAGTCTCAGGGCTCATGCACGTCCTCGTGTCTGGCATTGCCCCTGGTATTTGTTGTTGCACCCCTTTGTGGCATGGACTTTAAGGGATTTATCATTATCACCAAATGTTACCTGCAATTTCCTGGACATATCACTGGCTGGCTACAAACTTAAGGATGATGTTTTTAATACACATCATATCAAAAATACTCAAAGTCTCCAAACCAACAAAGTATAGAGACCTGGATGAGGATACCAATGTCTTCTGGGCACAGTAGAAGGGACATGTGATATTTATTGTTCTGTCTGCTATTAGAGTTACACCAAGGATGCTTTCAGTGAACCTACAGAGTATGGTTGTTGTCCTTCGCTCTCGAAGAGGACCAAAATGACATCACTATGCAAGAGTCAAGTTATAGTGTGTCCGACTGTGACTGATCAGACTAATACGAGCTCAGAATCCTCTACCACAGCCTTGGGCACAAATAATCCATGTGAACATTTGGGGTGGATTTGATCGTCTCAGATTTATTTTGAGCTACTTCAATTCTGCTTTGTTCATACAGCACAGCACCTTCCCTGATGAGGACATGCCATGCTGGGTGGTCCTGTGCAAGCATCTTCTATGTCCCGCAGTCAATTCTAAAGTTCTTAAGAGGGACCTTGAGAGGTTCCTTGTATCATTTATTCTGACCACCATGTGAGCACTTGCCCTGTGTGAATTCTCCATAAAAGAGTCTTTTTTTTTTTGGCAAGTGTACACTTTGCATTTGAACAACATGGCCAGCTCATCAGAGTTGCTTTCTCTGTAGTAGAGTTTGAATGCTTGGCAGTTTAGTTCAAGAAAGGACTTCAGTGCCTGGTGTCTTATCCTGCCAGGTGATTTTCCTAAGACAATTCATATGGAAGTGATTCAGTTTCCTGGAATGGCACGGATATACTGTCCAGATTTCACAGGCATGAAACAATGAGGTCAGTACAATGGCTCTGTAGACCTTCAGCTTGATAGTCAGTCTAATACCTCTTGCCTCCCACACTTTCTTTCAGAGCCTCCCAAACACTGAGCTAGCTCTGGCAATGTGTGCATCAACCTCATTATCAATGTGTACATCCATGAAAAGTACACTACCAAGGTAAGTGAACTTATCCACAGCATTCAAAACTTCTCCATTTGCTGTAAACAACAGTTCCATGTATGGATGGTGTGGTGGTGGCTGATGGAGCACCTGTATTTTCTTGGTGTTAATTGTTAGGCCAAAATTAGCACAAGCAGCAGAGAATCTATCCCTACTTTGTGCATCTCAACCTCAGAGGCTGCATTGAGTGCACAATCATCTGCAAACAGAAAATCAGGCACCGACACTCCCTCCATTTTGGTCTTGGCTTGTAGTCTTTTCAAGTTGAAGAATTTACCATCAGTGCGGCAGCTGACCTTGATGCCATGTTTATCCTCATTGAAAGCATTTGACAACATGACTGAAAACATCATGCTAAAAAGCATGGGAGCAAGCACACAGCCTTGTTTCACTCCATTGGTGGCTGGGAAAGCACGAGAGCATTGTCCATTATTCAGAACCAGGGCAAGCATGCCTTGTGAAATTGACGTACAATGTTGATGAACTTCTCTGGGCAACCAAATTTTGACATAATTTCCATAACCTTCATGACTGACAGTATCAAAGAATTTGGTCAGATCTACAAACATTATGTACAGACTTCTCTTCTGCTCTTAGCTTTTCTCCTGGAGTTGTCAGGCAGCAAACACCATATTGACTGTTTCTTGGCCCTTTCTGAAGCCACACTAGCTCTCAGGTAGATGACCATCTTTTGGGTGAAAGATAAGCCTATTTAGAAGGACTCTGGCAAGAATCTTGCCAGCAATGACTAAGAGAGAGACCCCCTCCCCTACCATGATTGTCACAGGAGAATCCATTTCCTTTACCTTTACGGATATGGACAATGGAGGCATCCTTGAACTCCTGGGGGAGAATTTCCTCTTGACATATAACTTGGAAAATTTTGGTCAGCTTTTGTACGAGCAATGGACTCCTTGCCTGGTAAATCTCAGCTGGAATAGAATCAGCACCAGGTGCTTTGGCACAAGAAAGGAGTCAAATGGCCTTCAAAACCTCTTCTTCAGTTGGAACTTCAGCTAGGGAGGGATTGACTTCAATCTGAGGTAAATGGTCAATGGCTTCGGCATTGATTGATGATGGTCTGTTGAGACTCCTAAGAAAATGCTCAGCCCATCTCTCTAGGATAATGTCCTTATCACCAATCAATGTAGTTCCATCAGCACTGAATAGTTGAGATGCATCATAGGTTTTTGGCCCACAAATAGCCTTCTGGGCATCATAAAAGTGCTTTGGATAGTTACTATCAGCATAAAATGGAATTTCATCTGCCTTCTTACTGAGCCAAGAATCCAGCATCTCTCTAAGCTTCATTTGCACTTTACTTTTGATGGAATTAAACACTGTCTTTTTAGAGATGGATGAACTATCCTGTTGGTAAACCCTGTGGAGTTCTCATTTTTTCATTTAGCAGCTTCTGAATTTCCCCATCATTTTCATCAAACCAGTCTTGGTGTTTGCGAGTGTTCTGATCCAGATGAGCAAATGCAGTGCTATACACCAAATCTCTGAAAGTTGCCCACTCCTTTTCTGTTCCACTGTTGCCAATTGTGTGCTGGCTCAACTTTCCCTCCAAGTTAGCGACAAACTGTTCCCATTCAGAGAAGAGCTTGAATCTATTGGCATTTATTCCTCTGGTAGTCATTTTGCCTTGGGGCCTCCACTTTTGTTCAATTTGAAAATTTAGCTTGGAGAGGATAAGTCTATGATCAGTACTGCACCCTGCACTGCACATTGCCTTTATCAGTCTCACATCCTATATGCCTCTTCTCCTTACAATCACATAGTCTATTAAATACTAATGTTTGTTGTGAGGGTGCATCCATGAAGTTTTATTGCATTTAGGCAAATAGAAGACAGTGTTGGTGATGAGAAGATCATGAGATGTGCAAATCTTCAGTAGTAAGTGACCATTGCTGTTCTGTTTCCAACTCCATTCCTCCATAGGACTCCTGGTAGTCTAAGCCTACTCTAGCATTAAAGTCACCCAGAATTATAAACTTGTCCCCTTTTGGCACATTGATGATAAGGGTCTCAAGGCCTTCATAAAATTTTTCTTTGAACTTATCAGGGTTTGTCATCATGGAAGGATAGGTACTGATTATAATGGTGTGACGTTTTCCTGCAAGTGGCAATCACATTGTCATGAGCCTATCATTCACTCCTTTTGGTAGGTATATAAACTTGTTGACTAGATTAGTTTTGATTGCAAAACCTACATCAGTTTTATGTGCTCCCCTTCATTGCAGCCACTTCAGCAAAACATGTATCCAGCTCCAACTTCAGTAAGCTGGCCTTCATTTGCTAGTCTTGTTTCATTCAGGGTTGCTATTTGAATGCAACACCTCCTGAGTTCTTTTGCAACAAGAACTATTCTTCTTTCAGGTCTATTGGATTCTGTGTTGTCTATAAGTGTGTACACATTCCATACTGATGGTGAGTGGAATCATCTTTGGAGAAGTTTTTGTATATTTTTTTTGTGTTTTGACCACAGGATGAGATCCCCACCTGCCGAGGTAATCAGGCCAGGGTTAGGTAAGCAGACAATTTTTAGGGCACCTTTTTTGGCCCCTTCATCACACCAGGAGGTGAGCAGTGTGATCCTTAAAAGGTTGCTCAGAGAACTGGGGACTGCCGAATCCCACTGCTGCTTCCACTGATAAGATGACCCTATGGCTTGGGCCACCTGTGTGCAGGTTGTGACTACAGCTCCAAGTATATCTGCACCTGCTGCTTTTTCACTTGCCTGTCACTACAGGGCTTTGAGATAGGTAAAAATGGTAAAATGGTATGGGAGATGTCTTTGATTTGTGA